TTTTAATAAAATTGTTATTTTCGGTTAATATTTTTATTTTTTCCAGGGATTTCAAATCAATTTATATTATATTAGACAATGGAAGTCTGAACTGATGAAATACACCACGAAACATTGTCAACCACCTTCAAACAAACGTGCAACAATATTCTTGTCAAGATGACAGAGTCGTCGAGACAAGACGGACGAAGGCAATTTCCTGTCTTGTTTCGACAAGAGGTAACACTGTATTTAAACAAAAATACAGTTTTCATGAACAAATGCATAAATACAAGTTGCCAACGAAATATTCCTTTATTTCTACTTGATCACACGATTGATGGCAGTTAATATTGAACAAAAGACGTTTTGTGAATAATGTTTGAATAGAATTGTATCGAATTGGACTTCTTCTTCTTTTTACTGTCAATTTTGAGTTATGATCTGAACCGCCCCACAATTCACAAAGGAAATATTTCCATTGCCACCAGAAAAATATTTATGCTACAAAGAAATCGTAAAAAACTCCACTTCCAACTAATCGTGATTCTGCTGCTCCGCCTAAAAAACAATAGCTATAATTGACCTAACTAGATTACCATATTTCAAAATCCCCATTACTCGGCAACCAAATTGATCGTTACCTCATCAAAAAACGACGACTTGATTGACGTTATGTTCCAAACGAAACAAAGGAATGTTTCTGTTTATCTGTTATGCTCTTCCCCGCTCTCCTCCCAAGGATAAATTAACGTATTATAATTATTGCAGATACTGTAACATTCGTATTGTATTCGTGACTAGAACATTTCGTACTTTCGCTTGATCGGGATAATCTTACGAGGACGTATCGATATATAGGTTATATCTGTCTTTTGAATTGAGTTTTTAAAAAATATTCATTTTGAAATTGGGGAAATAGTACCTATCGAATTCCCCTGAGTTACAATTGAACAGAAACTATAAAAAAATTTAATGTAACTGTATTATAACTGCAATCATAACTGATTCATTTCGCCGCACAGGACGTATTTATATGAAAATAATCGTGTACATAATCTAAAACTAGAACAAAGAAAATAAACAAGTCTTTGTGTAGTTGTTTTAAGAACTGCGTACCGGATATCGATTCAACATAAGGCAGCATTTACATCTTGTTTATTAATATCACCTTGGGTATGAATAGAGAAGAACAATAAACAACATATAACATGTAGGTATATCAACACCATAATCGCTAAATTTTGAGGTTACATTACTTCAAAAATCGAAAATATATAGAGTTGTTCCTTCTCATTCTGGCGATGAGAATATTTTCAGTATAAAATGAAAATATTTCTTTCTATACAAGTGTATATTTAAGGGGCAGTATCTCCGAAGATTTCCACAATATTACTTAGTATCATCCAAATAATAAATGCTGATTCAAATTCTAGATAATAATAAAAGTTCTATATTCGTTTGGCGGAGTTTAGCATGACTATTCTTTCACTCAACCAGGATACTAACAATAGTAAATACAAATCCATCCTCCATCATTCAGTGACATAGTCTTGCAACGGCACAGTCAGTCTGAAGTTGCTTTTGAGCGACTGTGCCAGTAATGTTTCTGATTTCAAGAGAAATCACATGGTGCCTTTTCTAGTGAAAGACAAAGTTAAGAACTGCAAAACGAGATGATTGTAAATGAATTGCTTTCCAACTTCCAACTATTCTAGATCTCTCTTGTTAGTTTCCGTTATTGAAAATCACTCCAAGTCCACAATGGGCTACTTGCAAGTTCCGCTCTTTTCGCTCAAATGCCAATAAAACTCATCTATTCATCATTACAAAGATACATGTTCATTTGATTCTTCAAGCAGAAATGTATATACTGTGAAATTGTCTCACAGAGATTGTTGACGCCACTATTCGGCTGCGTTGTTATCCTCTCATATGCCATAACTTGTCTTCATTCATAAACCTTGTATTGTCAGAGTCTTACATTTTGAGGTGTAGCTGGGGACAACTTTTCATTGATTTATTTCATAAATCTCACGTAATATTGTACATGCACAATATTTTATCTCCCAATTATCAATCACGCCATTTTGATATTGAATGTGGTATATTTCTCTCGAGTGCTATGGAGCAAAATATATTCATTTAACATTCAACAGTGTGCACCGTTTTGCGCCTCTGTCATTGGCATAACGTCAGTTTTGATGGAACAAGTATTTCAGAGGTGACCAACTCTTTCCTTGCTACTGGTGGGAACACACATGAATGAAACACCAAAAACTAATCCCGAGGCTGGATAGAAGTGCTCACCTCAATCTAAGCGGTGGCTGGAGATGAACAGAAATGTCCACCCCAATCTACCGCTTGGGATGAGGCTGGACATAGCAGATCACCTCCAATAGCAGAGGCACTTCCTGCGGCGGCTGCCCAGAGCTCCGCCTTGAATAAAGGCAAAGAATCGGCTGCCCCTGCAGGAAAGCTCCCTCACTTGTGCAACTCCACGGAAGAAATCCCAAGAAGGTTGAAGAAGCCGCGCAACGACTGTAATATCGCTGCACCTTTCAAAACCTTCGCGGAGGCCACCGTGAGACACCTCAAGGTTGCCGAAGAGAGTGTGTGTTCGGCGAGTCTTGGCCTACATCTGCCAATATAAAGGAGATGTCTCCTAGTGACCTGTTCACCTTCCTGGAAAGGACAGGATGGACGATGACCTAGGAGGACAACTCCTCGGGAGGAGTTGTCCTCCTAGGACAACTCCTAGCCTAAGTGCACCTGGCCTAAGTGCTGTGAGTCTACACTTACCCTCTCTACTCTACAGATACAGAAGTCATGATAGATCTTCGAATTTGTTTAAAAAAAGCCTTTGCATTAGCCCTTTGCATCCTTATGTAGCCGCAGCTAGGTCGTTCCGCTAATTTTGTAGACCTTTTCTAGAAACAATGATTTGAACTACAATGATTTTGACTACATAGGAATTGTAGAACTGGCAACATAGAATGCTGTGATCAGGAAAATATTCTGAAGCGTTTCAGCAGAGTAGCCAGACTGGAGAATAGTGGTCGCTTTGGCTTTAAAATCGTCCTTTCACTGAACATATTCCAACTTGGTGACATGGTTTTGATTACCTCGATCATAATCGGTCGTTCATATAGATGCCCTAAAAATGCTTCATTGTTACTCTTTCATGGTCACGGTTCAAGTAAAAATATGGGTTATTATATATTGATGGGTGACCATATTCCTACGTCCAGTATCTGGTAGTGGCACCCATGGGCACAGTGTAGAAGTAAACACCAGTAAGTTCACTCTCCGCCATATTTTGGTCAAGATTCCCCACCTCGAATTTTATGCGCGGCCGAACTACCAAGCGAGCCAAATTGAGGCATGGAATATTATTACAGAGTGAGTCGTTGTAAGCGGTGGTTTTGTATTTGTGAAATATTTGTGTCTAGTTTCAAAAAGAGCAAGTGTCAAGGTGTGAGTTGCTGTAATTTGCAAAGAGATATCTGCATTCATTTTTTTCGATTTCCAATTGAC